GACTGACTTACGTTAAATCATGTTGAGATAGTCAGCTATTCATGGAAAACATGGTGCACCAACTGGCCAGACCTTTTAATTTACTCGTCAGTGTTTCTGTTGCTCCATGGAAAATGAACACACTTTTTATTGTGGTCCTTTTCCGTTTTCTTCCATGCAGGTCTGTTTGCTTTCCTTCACTGCCACCAGTATATATTGGAACAGCTCAAAATATGTGATATGATATTGCACTTCCTGTGCTGGTTGATTGAATGGTTACTTTCGGACGAAGACGACATGGAGCAACAGAGCCCACGTAAGTCCCACTCAGTGCAGGTGGATTTAAATTTTCTCTCCAATGAAACAGAGGATTGAAATTTAAAAACGAAAACAAATTGCCATTTGCAATGCTGAGGCTGCTGACCACATCTGGCAGGTATTGTGATGCAAGGGCTTCTTAGCTAAATCAGCTTTACTCCAGGACGAGAGTGAGAGCCTATGGAAACTTAAAAAATTCAAAGGCAAACCTGTTTTGACACAAGTCAAGTTTCACTTAACCTCATTGTAACAGGGAAGAGAAAGCTAAAACCCAGCCAGAGGAAGCTTGGGTACCAGGATACCTGTTGCTCCTCCCAGAGTATCAGGATGTCTCCCCTCTACATTTTTACCATGACTTTAACAGCAACCATGACTTTCCTCCTGGCCCTAGAGGTTAGGGATGTCCTTTGAAGCTGTTCACTGCTTTTCTGTAATCAGAGGTCCCTGTTGAGCCAGACTTTCTACCCAAAGAACTGAGACTACAGCTCGAGCGCACACAGAGGAGTGAATTCCTTTCTGCCAGGTCCAGGTAGGTGTCTCTGCGGAAGAATGGAAGAAAGCACAGGAGGGGGTGAGCACCGGGCAGCATCGTCAGTAAGATAACTCCTCCTGAATTCCCTGGGAAAGGGAGGTGGTTGCGCCATTAGCCTGTGTAAGCAGTTAGTAGAGATTGATCTGAGCTTTGACAACGTCGAACATCCCAACAGCGGACCCGCAGGCAGTTTCCTCCTCATCTTTGCTACATATATGTGTACTAGATAATATTGCAATGAAAAACTACTGCAGTTGCCCAGATATTTTCCAAAGGTTCTTTCGAAAGAAATATTTCATCAAATTCCCATATTATCCAGTTACAGAGAAAGGACATTTGTGTATACAGGCATTCTGGCAGGAGATATTTGCTTTGGGGCCAGATGTAATTCAGAGCTATTCTGAACATTACTCTGCAGCAGCCTGGCCAAGCCCAGCAGTGCTGATTATTAGGGCTTTCCTGGCTTTCCAGCTGGAGCTGATTTCATTTAGTTCTCTCTCTCTCTCATAATTAATAACTTGTCTCCTTTATTCATTTTGAATCTTTGTTTTATCTCTAGCATTTTGTAGAATAGTTTCCAATTTAGTTAATCCGTTGCTTGCCTCCTCAGTGCACGTAGCAGAACTCATTCAGGCATGCACTTTAATGACCTACAGCTCAAATCGCCACTGCACAATCTCATATTCACTTCGCATCAAGCTGGCATTTTTTGTCATTTATGTTTTATATGCAGAGAACTCACAGCTCAGACTAGAGCAATGTCAATAATCTTTAAAAAAGCCCTAACCACCAGCATACATATGGGAGCTGTGCGTTCTGTCCTTTAAACAAGTGCAGATTTAGCAAGGAGGGGGAGGGAAAAGGAAGAGAACTGGAGCCTCAGCCGCCCGCTGCCAACGCAGTGCTTGCTCCTGCAGCATCAGCGTTTGGATCAGGCCCGTGTCCACCCTCTTTAGGTTTCAACAAACCTAGACAAAACAGATGGACTCCAACTCCCTTCTCACAGTTTTTAGGGGTATTAGTCGTCTGTATACGGAGGACTTTTTAGAGGGTTCACATGAGATTAGCTCTTTGCATTGTGAGTGTTCATAAATGGGACATCACATGTTAATAAATGATGGTTATTTGGTCTCTAAGCGTATTACGGACATGCATAAAACGCACTATAGATGGCTAACCGTTAACTGGTTACAAACAGCACTCCATACAGCAGCATGGATTAACCTTGTGCTTTCAACTCCTAGCGCACCGCAGGGTTTAGTCCACGACCTGGGCTTGTACGTACCTTCGCAGCGTGAATAACGAGTATTAATTTGCTACAAAATAAAACAAATCCCAAGTTTGAAGCGTACAGATGAAGCGTGCTTGCAGGCAGTATCTGTGTGTTTGAGTCGGCCTGTGCATCTGGGTGTACGTGCACAGTCACACATACGCCGTTAAGGAAGCAGGGGGCTGTCCGCGTTTCCATCCGAGGGCTGGTCCGCACAAGGGGTTTTGAACCACTGAACTCTGAATTCATACAGCAGAATATTCTGCACTTTCACAGGTCTGACCCCATTCGCCCAAGTGGGACAGATACCTACACGGGCTGTGGACACCCTGTGCCAAGTAACAGAGGTGTGTGAAATTTCCGATCTTGCGTTGTCTAGTGTCCTCAGGGAAATTTGGCTGGTTGCTTGTGGGTTTTATTTTCTTTTCTTCCGTCCTCAGAATACCTGGAGCAGTGGAGATTTCCAGTTGCAGTTTATTTTAAAGCCTTGCTTCTTTATCCCTTGTACTGCAGCGTGACATTGAAAGTTCTTCAAATGAATGACAATCCGCCTTTAAAACTAGTCACAATGCCATGTCTGTCTGTCTTTGGGAACACAGTTGGATTTTTTTAACAGATTACTGGCAAGGAGGTCACAACAGAGAGCAATGCATATGACTGAATATTAACTTTTAATAGAGCACATTGAGCTCAGGAGCCGATTAGAGTGTTCACGAAGCAAGAGCAATGCTAATCCTGGAAGGACTCCTAAAATCTTTCATAAGCTGCATTTAATTAAAAGAAAATGAAATACGCAAGAGTGGATGCATGAGTTGTACATTTGTGCATCCCACTCGATGAATGAATCATTTCCCTGTCTCTTTTTCTGACACAGAAATACCTTGCAATCCATTAAAGATGCTTGGATTTTTTTAAGGCTCCAGTGGACCACATGTCACCGGAAATAGCCATTGCAATATAGAGTTGTTCTGGCATAAGCATAGCACTTCTGCAATGATTTGAGTGGAGGAGGACATCCAGATTGTAGGGTGTTTACAACAGGACGTAATCACTTGTATCACTGGTAAGGCAAACATCCGCCAGGGCTGTTGTTAAATTCATAAAGTAGGGTGTTTTTCTAGTTCCTTACCCCATACCCCTGTAACACATACGCGTCACATGCGCGTTCGGGGCAAACCTCAGTCAGTGCAACTCTACCTGTGGTACCACTACGTCACGGGAGCACATCACACGTCCTGCACACACGGGCACAGGCCCAGCTGTGCCCCACTTCTGTTGCTGGTAAAGAAGCTTTAACTGGAAAGATGAAATACAACGCAAAGACGCATCCACTGATTCAGGTTTCGAAAAGCAAACTTGGAAAGCTGCAGGTGCCAAAAGATTTATTACTCTGGGCATCAAAGAAGCAGCAAAATCACTTTTGTTTAATTTTTTTAAGGCGCCAGTGGGGAAGGCAGACAGGGAGCGAAACTTAGCAGCAGCATACCCTAGACCTCCTTCATCAAACGGCAGCCAGTTCTGGTGTCAAGTTGGGATGCAGGTACAGGGCCAACGGTCCCCCGTCCTGAGCACGGCCCCTGAGCGGGTGCAGAGTGCAGACCCCTGCCGCTCCCTGGCCTCGCTCCGAAGGGAAGGATCCCTGCCTGCTCTCCTCCATTGCAAGCCCACAGAGCAGAGCAGCCCGGAAGGCACGTGCGCCTCACGCTTCGATACAGTGGGAGCCTGTCAGCCTCGCGCACATCCCTTCCAAGGGCCGGGGAAAGTGGTTACATCAGCAGACTTTCCAGTGGATTAACACGAAGCCTGGCAGGGAAGAAGCTCTGGTTCAGCACTGCAGGCACCGCGCCAGTACCTGTCAAGGACTATCAAACGGCCAAGCCTAAGCAGCTCAGAGAATAACAGAGCGGAAAGAATAAATATAAGATAGATATAGATAAGATATCCCTTATAAGATAGCCAGTAACCCTCTTAGCTAATAGTGAACACGGCTTATGACTTAATGGAAGGAAGGCTACCGGACTTCTGGTGCTGACTGCAACTGGAAACTCAGAAGCTGTAGGAGCTGGTCAATAACTGAGCAGGCAGGCAGGGCCTGCTGGTGTCTCAGCACCGTCCCGAAACGCCGCGATGCGCAGAAGTGCCGCACAGGACGAGGAAGCGCTGCCAAGCGGCAAACGGGGATCGGGCGTATTGAAACAACAGGAGATGGAAATGGGCTGGGAGTGTCTTTTTGCTGCCAGAGGGGCAGAAAGAGGGGAAGAGCACGGTGCCAAACATGACAATGCTGTGGCTGTTTTCCTCCTGGCCGCCCCCTCAAAATGTCAGTGGATTTTGGCAGAGAAAGGCTTACAGATCCGGGAGCGCAGAGAAGATTGCCCTGGTTTTGTGCCTGCAGGGAATTTTTTCAGTATGTTTTCTTAACATGTGCTTGATCTAAGGTCAAACTAAGTCAAGATGAAGCTGCATAATGATTTCTATCATTCTTGCATCAGGACCAGCACATCGCACTCAGACAGCCCCCGCGAGCTGGTCAGATCTTGACACGAGACTCACATGTGTCCTCACGCAGCATGAGCAGGCACCCACTCCTCTGACAGCTATGCATCTGCAACACGCGTGCGGTAACGTGACCCCTCCTCAAGGCACAGCAAACATGTACCAAAGCAGAACCACAGCAAGGGGGCACGTTGTGAGGTGTCCCGCGGCTGCTTGTCACCGCCACTTCCAGCGGTCCTCCTGGGAGGAAGCCTGTCACATCACCCCTCCTTAAAAATTACTGCACGATAAAAAAGTAAAAATCCAGGGTGGAAATCGAGCTAACGAAGGCTGCAAGTCCTCTCGGACTCAGGCGAGGGGAGGGGAGGGGAGGGGGGAAATAAAAAAAACCTTAGAGCCCAAAGCTGATATTTAAGAATTTATTCCACGCATCAGTGAGCAGGAAGAGAGGAGAGTCCCCAGCTTGCAGCAGGACACCACCAGTATGATGAACGCCTGGCTAGAAGTAGTTGATGACTCTTCGGATGGACTGGACATTTGGCCGCTGTGCCTGCCACTCGTGGCAGCTGCTGAACTTTCCCCGCTCCACCAGGTACATAGGGCCTTGGTAACTGGGCTTCTCATACAGCACCCACCTGAACACAAAGGAGGCTTAAATTACTCAGTGCCCTCCACAACCAGGCAATCCTCTCTTCATCCTGCTGTAGGAACGGTCCATTTATGGCAAGAGTAGAGCGAGTCATGACAGCACTGAAGGGGCTACCCGGCTGCAGCTTCACCGTATATAAAAAAAAAAAAAAAAAAGCACAAACATAGCACTCAACAGTGCTAACGAAGGACACAAGTCGGCTTAGCTGCCTGGGTAAATCCATTCTGGACTATAAGAAGATACATCCTTACTGCAACAGCTGAAATGCATTTTACCTCCTTCCTATCATGGGGATTTTGATTCTCCATAGCCATATTTAATAATTTCTCTCTTTGCTAGTAATTCTCAATTGCCTCTCTTTGATGTTTTCCAATAGAGAGCAGGTTTTGGCTCTGTTTTCTTTTAATCTCTACCTCCAGAGTTAACTACCACTTTCCCTTGGAGTAGAGTCAAACAGATGCATCAATCAACACCCTTGTTGACTTTGGCATGCCTGATTTCTTCAGCTAGTGTGACCAGTTACTTTAACATATCTTCCTCCGTTTGAAGGTCTTCAAGGCAGCAGCGATGCTGGTAGCCAAGAGGGACGAGTTTTGCTGCTCTTTCCTCCCTTCATGCCTCCAGTATGCACCATTCTGTGATCTTAATGCGGCCACAACTTTTACCTCTTTCCTTTATTTAAATTTCCCATGCCTGTTAATCAAATTATGCTATTGCTCTGATAGTGTCACACTCCAGTTTCCACCCCACCACTGCTGAAATTCTCATCTCTACCTTGTTCTTCTCTTCCCAAGCTCATAGGTAAATTTAAAAGGATCCCTGCTGCTTGTCCCACCTATTGACTCAGCAAAGACAGTGGAGCACAAGTCTTCCAAATCATTTGGTTTCTGTAGCCTATCCCTTGCCAGGAGTTCAGCAATGACATCTTGGTTGGGACCTAATGTACGTGGAATTCGCAAGAAGAAACCCAGCTAAGTCCTGGGTGGGGCAAAGACTCGCTTAGCCTCCAAAGTCAAACAATAGCTGAAACTCAGATGAGTCTAACCCAGGGCAAAAAGCTACAGTCCCTAGGAGAAAAGTTGTATATCAAGCCATCCACGGGCATTATAAAGAAAATGCAAGGCATTAGGGCATTTAACTGAGCTGCCCTACAGACTCCTGGCCATACCTAGATCTATCTTCTAAGTCTGAGAGGACACTGGGTTGGACTGCGGTGGGCCCCTGCTCCCATCTGCCTTGTGCAGCACCAATACAGCTGGCATGCTGGGTGCACACCTGTATGGTACCCCACTTCATCGTGCTGCCTGTGCTTCCACAACCCCTTTCTACGAGCAAGCAGCATCTCTAAAACACGCTCAACCAAGGCATTTGAATCCTTAGCCTTGGCGTTAGCCAAACAAACAAGTTCACTCTTTGGCACTTTTTGCAACCGATTTATACTCTGACCAGAATTACAACGTCGTCCTCAGACTTTCCTTTGAAACTTATTTTCCAGTGCATGAAGGCTGCCCACTGCTCACGTGGGCGGAATGGCAGGTTGCCCTGAGGAAATGTCCCTCTCCGCATATCCTGCTATGGACTGTCAGAGTGGGTGCTAAGCTCTTCAGTTTAATTAAGAACAAGTTATAAAATTATCCTCCTTCCGTAGAATCCACTCCAGCCTTGTTCATAAGGCACTCAAGACTTTCTTCTTCTACCTCCATCCCTCTCCATATTTTTGCATAATCATGGGCCTCTCTGCTCCATCAGCTCGCCATCTGTCCCTCGAGCACTCCTGAAAAGAGCCGTTGCCTATTTTCTGCACCTGCCATTCACTCCTTTCTGCTGAGAACAGCCAGCATTATTGATAGGGCTACATGGTGGGAGTCCAGGGACGTTCATCTTGTGGACACAGCACATTAGTGGCCCAAAAGGACAGGGGAGTTCTTCCAGCTCTGCTCTAGGGTATCTTTCAACAGCTCATGGACCCAGGGAAATAGTGCTTGGGGGTAGAGCAGCCCATCATAGCCGTGTCCTTCTCAGGACCTCTGTGTTTCTCTCCAGGCACTTGACTCATGACCACACTGCTGCATGGTGGGAACTGGACAGGCCCCTGGGGTAAATGGAAGCAGATTGCACAAACTGGTCTGGTGATAAGAGCCCACTGGTTAGTCCCTCTGCTTAGGAGAAAGCTGCAAAAAAAGGGAAAAGCAGGATAGCAGAACGGATGGAAGTATACTGGCAGTAGATGGTGATGAGTGAAGACTTGTATGGCTTATTTAGCTACTCCTTTATTCCCTAAAATTTACATTCTCTGAGACCATCAGCAACAAAGCAAGTTAGGAGGCCAGAAGGAAGACAATCCAGTCCCCAAGCCCAGCATGGTTCAGCTGATTCAGGCACATAGCAAACAAGCCTCAAAAATCTCTCTGCTGTGTTTAATTAATACATAAACCCAGAGGACACTGAAATAAAATTTGCATGAATCCAGCCCAGGCCCTATAAGCCAAAACTGGCTGCTCACACTGAAAAACTAGCAAAGACTCCTACTGAAATAAATCCCACTCTCAGTTCTGCAGCTGCTCCAGATAAAGGGTGTTTTTATCGGAAGGGGAAGAGACAGAAGTGCAGAGGAGATGGGGAACAGAGGAACACACACAGTCCAACTTGGGCGTGAACGGACCCCTTTGCTCTGAAAGTGCTGTCCCTAACAAAATTCAGCCTGTCTTTTCTGAAGGACACTGGGCCCAATTCATTACTAGTATGAATATTCAACTACATTGAAGTCAATGAGACGTTTACAGTGGATTCCACAGCTTGGATTTTCATGCTAGAAAGGCCTGTTGTATCACCCACTTTATCCGCAGATACACCACAGACCTGGGAATTTGAAGTGTCATGAAGAAACCAATAATCTGCACAGGGCTAAACCACCTCTACCGGAAAAGCATCCTGTCTTGCTCAAAAACCAGACAACGGGTTGGATCTACGAGAGAATCTCAAAGCAAGGTACTACTTAAACAGGGGAGTCTTACGGGTTCAATTTTAGTCAAACCGTGAGCTTCCAGTATTGTTCAAGTATGCTGATTCCCCAGAAAAGAGCTCTTTGACGGGTGCCATGCCTAGCAGGCGTCCATGGTGATGAAGCAGTGACGTCTGACTTCCCACTCGGAAATTTCCTAGCCCGACTGCAAAAACTCTACCAAATGCTAATACACTCAAATACTTCAGCAGAATAAATGTTCCGTTTGGTTCCTTCAAGTCACGTCGCTGTAGTTTAGAAAATCCTTTTATTGGGTACTCTCTCCCAGACTGTAAAAAAAACACATTGGCTTTTTAAAGTTATTATTTCTAAACCATCTTTTGTGAATGACTGAGCCTTCAAACAGGGGAAGCAGCACATGTTTTCACATAAAATCAGATTATGTCACTTGTGATACCAGAGCAGACACTGCTGGTGGGAATGAGGAAGAAGATGGCAGAGCTCCTTTCCCTACAAACTGCAACAGCTTCGAAGGAGGCAGCAACATCTTAGAAACTGCAAGGAAAGAGCTCTCATTTCCAGCGCTCGTCTGAACAGCTCAATCACCATTTGTATGTGTGGAGGTAGCGCTCCCAAATCCCGAATGCGGAGCGGGGTGGTGCTGGACACCATCAGCCCCAACCTGCGCAGTGACAGTAGCAGACGTTTCTCTCCAGGAACACGTTTCCAGCCAACCCGGCACCACTTCCCACAGACCCAGCCACTGCTGGTAGCACGGGCAGCAGCTACTTAGAAGCACGTGACATCATACAAGGATTCTGGAGAGAAAGGGAATATTTCTGTATCCAACAGATGTTGCGTTGGGGGAATTAGGTGAGTAATTGGGAAAAATCACAAATAGGGATAACAGATCCCCTCGGTCTCCGTGGGAGCAGCTTGGCCTAAAGGACAGGGAATCAGAGAAGGAGCCAGCGAAGGAGCAGGCCGTCTGATTAGAGTCTGCTTCCTCCCTTGTGTTCATGAGACACGTCTCACCTTTGTGCCTTTTGAAAATGGGAATAAGGAGATTTTCCCACCTCCAGAGAGTGGTTGGAGATATACAGATCGGCAGAAAATTGCACAGAGTTATACAAGCTAGCAACAATCTCACACTGACGCAGCGTGAGTCTTTGGTGCTGCTAGAAGCAGGCAGGATGGGAGCAAAGCGGGTCAGCCTGCTTCACATCTGCTTTTAGCGCACACCAAATAAAACTGACCCAATTTCAATGCTGGCTCTCTGCCAGCGAGCGTCTGGGAGATGCTGGAAACAGCACATAGCTGACGCTCCTCTCCTCTCCAGCGATCCATCTCCTCCGCTCCCCAAACAGTTGGGAATAGCTCCGGGAGGACTTGTTCTCAGAGGTAGCCTGGGCTTACATCGCTGTGGGACGTGTCCCGTCCTGTGTTTCTCACGAAAAGAGAGAAGTGTTGCCCCAGGGCCGGGGGGAGAGGGCCGCATGTGCCCACACCAGCTGCCCGTGGGAGCAGGAGATATAAACGCCTCTACTCAAAGCAAGCTCTTCTCCTTGCAAGGTGCATCTTACAGAAAAACATCAATTCCTCCATTCAGCAAGGTAAAACAGGACCAGGCGGAGGGCTGGGATTAATCCACTACCTCCTCCCACCTCTGGGGCTCTCTCACGCCTTGCTGGGTTAGCTCTTCCCATCCTGCTCTCTGCCGGCTCCCACCTCTCCGCAGCAGTACCTCTGCCAGCAGGACCCTCTGCACCAAACTGTGGTTTAATGATGTTTACAGATCCTTCCACATACTTTCAGTGACTCTTTTCAGGGTCCAAATGCAACTATACCACAGTCCTTTCCGTATTTTTCTTTCTTAAAGCTACTTTAAGCTTTCGAGAAGTCATTTAATGACAACATAAGCAGGCAAACAGTCTAGACTCATGTACAAGGGGAAAAAAAAGCTCTGTGGCCCTTATATACTTGGTAGAGATGGTGGTGGGGGAATCAATCTGAACAGTTTAAGTGCTTGAAAGTTTCTGGATAACATCCCAGTTTCTCAAGTTCCAGTGTCTACTACAGGGACACACGTGGCGTGGTAAATAATTGGTCTAAAACTCTTGTCAAAGTACTTGCAGAGTCTCTCTTGGCTTTATGTTGCTGGTCCTCCCCGCAGTATCCAAACGCTTTCCACATCAGTGCACAGCACTAATGGGGTCCCTGGTGGATGCCCGCGAGCTGGCTGTTGCTTCCTTCTGGAGCAAGTCGCTTTGCTTGTTAGCTCAGGTTTTAGGCCTAAGCCTAAAGCCTGTTTTTTGGAAGGGGAGAGGTTTTTGGCTGAGTTAGAAAGGGTCCTGCATGACACTCGATGTCAGGATGTTACAGTCTCAAAATGCTACAGACTTTTCCCAGTCTAGGAAAAAAACACTGTGGGCAGAAAGCGCCCAGTATCACAAACGAGGTGCGCTTGAGATGCACCTCTGCCAGGCTGGAGCAGACTGGAGGTGAAGTGTCGTCGCAGCGCTCGCAGAGCACCTTTGCTCCTCTCTCTCCCCTCTTTTCTCGCTTTCCTCCGCTGCTCCGCACACCTGGACTCATCCGCGTGCCGGCAGGTGAGCAGCTTGCCCCATGCCGGGGCAGCCCCCCTCCATGATGCAGATGCCGAAGGAGGCGGCCCCGTTTACAGGACAGCTCGTTTTGAGGAAAGGTCCTCTCCCAAGAGGAACTGGCTTTGTCATGCAAACACTGTGACCTGGCGGGAGAGAAGCCACCAACTTTGTGCGTGCTCGCCATCAGCTGCAGCTTCACCGTACTAATCTGGGCCACATTTGGGGAATGAACAGCTCCACGTCTCCATGGAAAGCTTCAGCTTTCGAGCTGCTCCTCTTATGACCCCAACTGAGGGCTGGAGATCCCTGGTTTGGGAACTGCTGTGCCAGAGACTCGTGTAGCCGGCTATTTTGATCTGCAGTTATCAAACACTCACGGTCCCTCACCAAATTCAGGATTTGGGAACCCGAACAGCCGCTAACTCTACTGAATCCATTACTGCTGAGCTGCAAGTTACGGCTGTCTCTCCGAGACGTAATTTAATTTTCAGGTGAGATGCTGCTGCCTAATTTTAACCGTCAGAAGAGGGGAGGATGTTTCTCCTGTCGCAGCAAGCCTTCGAGATGCCACTTAAAAAGCGAAAGTCACGGACTGCATAGCTCTGAGCCGCCTGCCTTCCCCAATGGGCAGGGACATTTCCCCAGGCCCAGCCCATGGGAGCCTCTGTGTGGATTTTGAGGAGGTCTTTACACAAAAATTAAAAAAAAAAAGTGCTTTTAGGTGTCTTGCTCCACACACCTTAACAAGATGTCTCAGAGCTCCTGTAGCTTGTGCTGTCACCCTCTAAAAATCATGCCCCTTTGAAGCAGCTCTTGTGGGGCACTCAATATCCGAGGCATCAAAAAATATCTTTCAAAACCATATGCTTAACTAACATTTTTAGCCTGCTCAGGGACATTGACAGGATTTTCCATGCCATCCGTTTCTTTGCATCTCCTTTGGTGTGC